ACAAGGCCTTGAAGGTGAGCAGCGGGGTGGATGGAGTCCTGAGGCAGGGGTGCCTCCAGGGTGGGCGGTCCCCCGCTCAGCCTTGACCCCGTGCACTGCCCTGCCCCCAGGTGAAGCGGGAGCCAGGTGAGAATGGCACCAGCCTGACTGATGAGGAGCTGGTGACCATGTCGGTGCGGGAGCTGAACCAGCACCTGCGGGGCCTGTCCAAGGAGGAGATCATCCAGCTGAAGCAGCGCCGGCGCACGCTCAAGAACCGCGGCTACGCCGCCAGCTGCCGCGTGAAGCGGGTGACCCAGAAGGAGGAGCTGGAGAAGCAGAAGGCGGAGCTGCAGCAGGAGGTGGAGAAGCTGGCCTCGGAGAACGCCAGCATGAAGCTGGAGCTCGACGCGCTGCGCTCCAAGTACGAGGCCCTGCAGAACTTCGCCAGGACGGTGGCCCGCAGTCCCGTGGCACCGGCCCGGGGCCCCCTCGCGGCCGGCTTGGGGCCCCTCGTCCCTGGCAAGGTGGCTGCCACCAGCGTCATCACGATAGTAAAGTCCAAGACGGACGCCCGATCGTAGGGACGCGCGCTTGCCCGGGCGGGTCTGCAAGGGGCCATTAGGCGCATGGCGAGTTTGGCAGCCCTGTCCCCTTCTTCCTCCTCTCCTCCTCTTCCTCTCCTGCCTCCTCCCTTCCCTGCAAAGCACAACCTGCACCCCGGGGCGCCGGGCTGAGCCCCTTTGATCTCGTCGTTGTCATCGTGTGTTTTGTACGTTGGGATTGGTCAGTTCGGCGGTGACGTGGGGTTGCCTCGGCCCCCTTTGTACCAAGGCCGTGCAGGCTTGGAGTCCAGAGTTGGCCCTGTGGCAACAGACAAAGATCGGATGAGCTCTCTGGGGCTCGCGGTTCTGAGTAGGGAGGGCTGCTGTCCGCTCCTGGGTGGCCCACAGGCCCCGACAGCTGCTGCCTGGCAGGGGGCTGTGATTCACTCTCAGCGCGGCCAGCAGGCATAGATGGGCTCTGCTCCTAAGAGTAGGGTGTCCTTGGGGGCCCTGGATGGGCCTGGATGGGCGGGCCACCAGCCTGGGCGCTACGGCCGCTGGGAGGGACGGGGCGTTATGTGGCTTTGGGCCAGGGCCCACGGCGCTCAAGCCTGACGCATTGCACTGAACAAGACCAAATCACTGGTTGTGAACATTCGTGAAGGGTGTGTCCAGTGTCCTGCGACGGGTCCCGTGTCACTGTTTACATGACCTATCTGTGTGGTTACGTGGCCCTTTATTTAAAAGAGAGGAGTTCCTTTTACGAAGTTATTAAATTATATGTTTAAAAGCTAAAGAAAAAAAAGAGCTGCAGAGTATTTATAAAACTGTCTTTTTAAAAAAAAAAAAACAAGCAAGAACATTTGACCATATATATGGAAAAGGGAAGAAAGTATAATAGAAACTTTGCTAGTTTAACAAAAGAAAAAAAAAACAAACAAAAAAATCCCTTTCTTGTAAACTTATGGACAAGTCTTTGTGGCTGTTGGAGTTTAGTTTTTATATACACAGAGTTATCAGACGTTATTTATAAAACTTAGTTTTAAAAAAGACAAAAAAAAAAAAAAAAAAAAAAAGCCAAGCTGTGGGCGACCACAAGGCGCATCCTGGCGCCCTCTTTGCTATCTCTCTTGCAATTGTACCGAAAGTGACTTACTCCTTTGCCCTTCCTGCTTCCGTCTCTTGCCGGTGCCGTGGTGTCGTCCGTGCCTGGTGAGGTCTTGTGCAGCGTCACGTGCTGGTGCTTCTGGTGACCTTTGACCTGTGGGTGTCACTTCTTGTGTCTGTTATTCCTGTGTTTGTTTTTTGGATTTGGTTGTGTGTTTGCTTCTGCCAGCTTGCCGGCCCGGACTGGGGCGCTGGGCGACTCCCCGCTCCGGCAGAACGCGGGAATCTCCCCCAGCAGCCCAGCCCCCCGCCTCTGCCTCGGTGCCTGACCCGGGACCCCAGAGGAGCAGATTGGGGGCTCTGCCGCTCCCACCTCTGCACAGCCTTGGCTTCGCATGTTTGTCCTAGGCTTGGGCTGATCCGATGGCCGGGTAGGTAAAACTGGGGGCCATCCCAGACGGCGCCCCTTGCCTCCATGCCCACCGCCTCTGGCCAGGGGTGGCAGATTTGCAGGGACCAAGGAGTCACTAGGGTACCCCCGGGTGTCTTCCTTCTGGCCTCTGGTCAACATGCTTGGGCTCTGGCCTCCGACCCCAGCTTTGTTCCTGTGGGCTGCACGGGGGCCTCATCGGGACCCGTGGAGCCCACGTGGGGGGTCGCGAGGCCTGCTGCCCACGTGTCCTGGCAGTGCTGCTGTGCTGTGAAGTGGAGCTCCCCAGGCAAAACCAGGTGGTTTGAGGACTCACCTGGGGCGGCCCCTTCACCCTGCCCATGAGCCTGGGGGCGGGGGGGAGGGGGGGTCTCCGCCGGTGCCAGACAAGGGCTCCAGTGCCCAGGGCCAGGTCCTATCTCTCACCTCGCCCTGACTGGGCTCTGGGCCTTCTTTCGCCTCTGGGATCTGTGTCTTCCAGGGATGCGCTGCTCAGCTCAAGGGGTGCTCCTCTGCGGGGCTGAGCCTACCTTCCTGTGGCCCCTCGGCAGAGGCAGCCAGTCTTCCGGACTGGGCTTGGGAAGCTCCTCGGAGGCCTCCCGCGGTGCCTGCCCTCAAGAGGCTACTGCCCCATCTCTGGCCACATGGGCCTTGGCTCCTCTGGGGGCCCCGAACCCCTGTAAAGCACAGAAGTGTGGGCTGGCGAAAAGAAACACTGCGGCCTCGCAGGGTGTGACCTCGTGGGCTGCGGGGAGGATTTTCATCCCAGAGTCTGACCCAGTGTGCCCGTGGGGTAGGAGCAGGGGCACGCTGTCAATTTCTGTCGTGTTAATGGGCTTGGCCCTAGAGGCTCAGTCATTCCCGGTTGTACCCGGGTCGGCCTGCGATGGAGATTTTGACTGTTGGCTCTCAATACTTAGTGGCTTCCTGCCCTTCCTTGCTGTCTGGCTTTGTCTACCTAGGGTCTAGATGAAAGTTGTTGACGTTGGTTGTAGCGGCAGTGAGCTGGAATCGCGTCATAAGAATCACTGAAGAGGGGTCACGTCCATGTTCTCCACATCCGCTTACGGTCCCGACACTTTCGTCCTTGCTGGGAGGTGGTTGTCCATCTGCAGGCTGGAGACGTGGAGAGGAGAGAAAGGAGGTGGGTTTGGAAGTCCAGAGGCGGGTTGGAGGGTGGACACGGACGGAAGAGAAATTGCAGGTCCTTGGTTTAGGTATTGGAAGAAGCTTCTGGAATTACTGAGGCCATGCTTCCCTTCGGAGTTTTTGGATTTGGAGCAGCTGTTCCTCGGGTCTGGGAGTACATCCTGTTCCCATCAAGCCAGCCCCACGGGGCCGCTCTGCACTCTGCCCTTTCCCCCTTCCCCTTGGTTTCTTGACAGTAGAGCCTGTGTCCACATGTGACTGGTTGGTGTCTTTCTGATTCTTGTCAATTCAGTTTTCCTACTGTGAGGGTGTTGTGTTCTTTTTATCCTCGACTTTTCTGACACAGCGAATCGAGGGCTTTGGCCGAGGCCAAATCTCCCAAACTGGTCCGCTAAGTAAACCATGATGTGTACCTTCCTTCCCATCAGGCCTGAGCCCTACTCCCCCCTCATCCCGACACGGACACTCAGATTTCAGAGGAGAACCCTGTGGGAACAGGTCAGCTCCTGCCCTGAGTGTGGCCCCAGGGAGACTTCCCTGTGGCCCTGGCTGCTGTTCTGGGCGGCACCGCTGTTTGTAAAGGTGGGAAGACACGGCTGCTCGGCCGTGTGGTGTGCTGGTTTCTGCCGGATACCAGGTCTCCCCAGAGGCTTTTCTGCCCTTGGTCCAGGCTTCAGGTCTGTGTGCACAACCCTGCCCGTCAGCAACAGCTTCTATGGTCAGTTCCTGGGCCCACAGCTCCGATCAGCTGTAGCCTGCTTTCGGATGGCTGGTCAAGCCCCCTCCTGTCCCTGTGGCCTCCCTTTCAGAGGTGGCCAGTTGGCTAAAGCTCCCATCCACAGCTGGGAAGCCCAAGCCACAGCCTGCAGCACCGTTTCCGCTCTGGGATCTTGTAAGTTACTTTTTTAGGCTGTGGTTTGGTGAAAGGAACCAACACAGTAACGATTTTTTTTTTTTCCCCCAGAAGCCACTGAATAATTCTTTTTGGCGCGTTTTTGCCTTCCTGTTGGCCGTCTAGTTTTGGAGCAGGTGGGGAGAGTGGAGGACACACAGAGGCAGGGGTGTGCCCTGGAGACTGATGGCCTGTCCTGCTTCTGGCCTGTGTGTGTTGCGCGTGGGCTGTACCTTTGGGCCGGTCACGCACATTTCCACCCCACGCTGGAACAGCAGCCTTGGTACGTGGGTGTCTGGTGAGCTGGAGTGTTAGAAGAGTGTGCCCCTGATGGACTGCGAGGGGGCGGCCCCTCCAGCACCCTCGTGTCCCAGCCCCTTCCTTCTCCCCATCCCCTCAATTTGCTACTCCCTGAAGCCTTTAACCAAACGGGAGTGGGTACAGAAAGCCTTCTCCTGGCATCTTAGGGCAACAGGACAAGGGCTGCCCAGTGCGTCCAGCTCTGGTGCTCTCCTGGCGCTGAGAGGCTGGGTCCAAGCGGAGTTGATCAGACCCTGCCTGTCCTGCCTAGGGCTGAAACCAGGGGGAGGTGGTGGTACCCTGGGACCTGCCGGGGCAGGCAGGGGTTGTGGAAGATCCAGGTGAGGAGGGGCCTCCCTGGGGCGGGCTGTGGCCTCAGCGCTCACCCCGCCCTGTGCAGTATTTATTGCTAAATTATTGTCCAGGGGGGGCGGCACTGGGCCGGACCCCGGGTATTTATTGCTGTACATAGTGTATGTTTGTGATATATAAGGTTTTCTTTATTTTGTATATGATCAATAAACACCTTTTAAAGAGACCGTCAGGTGCTTCCTTTGCGCGCCGCGCGGGCGGGGCCGGAAGGGCGGGGCGGACCTTGCGCGCATGCGCCGGTGCACGGCCTGCCGGGAGGCGGAAGCGGAAGCGCGGGTGTCCCGGGAGCGATGGCAGCCGGGGGTCCCAGCCGCTCGGAGCGCAAGGCGGCGGAGCGGGTCCGGAGGCTGCGGGAGGAGCAGCAGCGGGAGCGCCTCCGTCAGGTACGCCGCCGCCCGCCCCGCGCCGCGCCCCCGCCCCGCGCCGCCCTCACCGCTTGCCCCGCGCCCGCAGGTGTCGCGCATCCTGAGGAAGGCGGCAGCGGAGCGCAGCGCCGAGGAGGGCCGGCTCCTGGCCGAGAGCGAGGACCTGGTGACCGAGCTGCAGGGCCGGAGCAGGCGGCGCGAGGGCCTGAAGCGGCGGCAGGAGGAGGCGAGTCCCGGGGCTCGGTCGGCGCGGGGCTCGGTCGGCGGGCCGCCGGGGTCGGACCTCTCGCCGGGCGGGGGCGGGGGCGGGGCTTACGGCCGGCCTCGGCGTCTCGGCAGGTGTGCGACGACCCGGAGGAGCTGCGGAGGAAAGTGCGGGAGCTGGCCGGCGCCGTCCGGAACGCCAAGTACCTGGTCGTCTACACGGGCGCCGGCATCAGCACGGTACGGCGGCGAGGCGTGGGCGGCCGCGCCCCGGCGTCGGCTCCCAGGTCCGGGAGAAACCCGGAGCGCCGGGGGCGGGTGTGGGGCGCCCCCTTCTGGGTGACTGACCCCAGGACCGCGGAGAGCACAGTCGAGAAGCTCGAAAGGACTCAAACTTCGTTGAGGGCATAAATACGTGTAGACACTTGCAGTTTCTGTGATACCCCGTTCGAGGCAAGAAGGGAAGAGGGGTGAAACAGGACATAATACGTTAGTCCCTGCAGGCACCTCCTCGTTTCAAGTCCGGGAGGTTAACTCCCTGTCCTAAGGTTATGTGGGTAGAGTGAAGCCCCAGACCGTCTCCCGATTCCGCGTTCGTTGTTATTTTCTGAATGTTGAAGGAAAGTAAGTAGAACGCGAGGTAGTTAGAATTAGAGTACACCAGGTAAAGAAGAGAAACGCGTTGGGTTTGGGGACATTTTATTGAGAAGCTATCTCGGGCCATTGAACACGGCTGGCTTTGAGAGTGTTACCTGTCCACGTAATGGGTGCCTGTCGAGTGTGACCCATGTGTGGGCCCGGCAGAGGTGAACACTGAGGATTTCTGGCCTCGGGGAGGCCGCAGGTGATGAGGGGATGGCAGTAGCTGGCCGGGCCGGGTTGCCAGAGCAGACATGCAGACACGCCCTCCGCGGTCTCAGAGAGCTGGGACATCCATCCAGCTTGCTTTCTGTGCGAGGCGGCATTGAGGCCGGGCCTTGAAGGTTGAGTAAGGTTTTACAGGAGGGGGCCAAGGGAAGATCCAGCGAGATCGTGTAAGGGGCGCTGACCGTCCTAACTTGCAGACCCTGGTGGTCGGGTCTCCGTCCTCCAGTCATTCCTGTCGTCTCTCAAAGTCCTGCTCTTTAGTTTGCTCTGAGCATCACTGTTTGAGGTTTCTCTTTTCAGTGTGATTCAGAACCACACTGCTTGGGGTGGGCATTTTTCTGAGCCTAAGCCGCAGGGAGGAGACAGGGCTCCCCAGAAGGGATGTCACTCACAGCCTAGGGAATGTAAGACTCCTTGCTCCGAGCACACCTTCTGTCTTCTCTCGTGGTGGTTTCGTTTCTCTGCATTGAGAGGTAGGGACATTCAGGGTGTTTAGCTCGTCTGGAGAGATTGGCTCTCTTTGGCAAGGGAGGTCAGGAAACACCGTATCGGGTGTCAGAACTGGGACAGACCAGCACTCCTACCCAGGGTGCCACCATTTGCTAAGTGTTTCCTGAGCACTGGCTCGGCCCTGGGGACACACAGATCAGCCTGACCCGTCCTCCCCCTTGGTTTGGAGGACGACAGATGGGGCTGCAGAGCCCAGGTTGTGCTCGTGCTGGAGAGGCTCCCGGAGGAGGCAGGACTCCTTGGAAGCCGGAGGGAGGAGCTAGACCGGGTCGGGGCAGGGGTCCGGGCAGAGGGAAGGAGCCACTCCATCTGGGTTCAGGCAGGTTGGACTAGGAAATGCCGAGCCTGTGGAATGAACGGAGGCCAGGGCACAGACGAGTCTGGAACACATCAAGAGAAAAACGTCGAGTTTTCGTTTGGGGGAATTTTGCCAGTTCCCGTAGTGATGCATTTTCACTGGCCTCGTCCTTCTGAACATGCAGGCAGCCTCTATCCCAGATTACCGGGGCCCTAATGGAGTGTGGACGCTGCTTCAGAAAGGGAGAAGCGTTAGGTAAGCAGCCTGATGCAGCCTTCCCAGCCAGTTGAGCAGAGGCAGCTCGGGCCTGACCTCACAGCTCCCCACGCCTTTGCTTCCCTTCCACCTGGCAGTGCTGCTGACCTGAGTGAGGCCGAGCCAACCCTCACCCACATGAGCATCGCCCGCTTACACGAGCAAAAGCTGGTAAGAGCCCGGTGTGGCTAGCTAGTGTACTTGCCGGGTCCCTGGCACAGGACCTGGAGGGCCACCTTTGTGCCCACGTGGCAACTGCATCATACCTCTGTCCCAGGGACCCCTGGGATAAGTGCCCACAGAGTGTTTTAGACTCCGGTGCTGCTTTTTCAAGAGAAGGGTAGTCTCTCGCGTGAATCGTAGGGCCGGCCTCAGGCCGAGAGCCGCTGGTGGCTTTTCCCCCCTGTGTTTCTCTCACATTGTCCCCACAGACCTCAGAAGCCACCTAGGTACAGGGGAGGCTTGTGGGAACTCTAAAGACCCTCTGCCGAGCACTTTCAACCAAGTAGGGAAGGGTCAGTCCTCCTGCTCCTTCAGTGACCTGAAACATAATGACCCAAGAGAGTGTCACTTCGGGCCCCGGCCCCTTCCCTGCCGAGAGCAAACAGCTGCACTCCCAGCTCGCTAAGTGCTTCCGGGTTGGTCGGGGGCAGCTTGGGTTCCCCCCCACCCCCCGCCCCCCACCCCCCACGACCTGCTGCCGGGACCGGCCTGCCGCTCCGGTTTTGCCTGTGAGGCTCCGCACGGGGTCGGAGCTGCCCTGGTTTGGGGACTCTGGGCAAGGTCAAGGACTGCTTTCACTACTGAGCACGGCCCCTCACAGGCTACCTGCTGACTTGCCCTTACTTGCCCCGCAGGTGCAGCACGTGGTGTCTCAGAACTGTGACGGGCTCCACCTGCGGAGCGGGCTGCCGCGGACGGCCATCTCGGAGCTCCACGGGAACATGTACATTGAAGTGAGCGGTCCCTCTGGGATTCGCGGGCCTGTGCGGGCCAGCGGCTCCTGCTCACGGCGCCCTCTCCTCCTCAGGTCTGTACAGCCTGCACACCCAACAGGGAATACGTGAGGGTGTTTGATGTGACTGAGCGCACCGCCCTGCACCGGCACCAGACGGGCCGGGCCTGCCACAAGTGTGGGGCCCAGCTCCGGGACACCATTGTGCACTTTGGGGAGCGGGGCACGCTGGGGCAGCCTCTGAACTGGGAGGCAGCCACTGAGGCTGCCAGCAAGGCAGACACGATCCTGTGTTTAGGTTCCAGCTTAAAGGTACGTGAACAGCGCCGCGGACGGGACCGGAGGGGAGGGGAGAACTGCCAGTCCCTGGCCAGTTCAGTGTTAGAAGCTAGCTTCCTGTAGCTTCGTTCGCTGTTGTGCATGTGGTCTTTCTGTCCGTCTGTCCGTTCCTGCAGGTTCTAAAGAAGTATCCACGCCTCTGGTGCATGACCAAGCCCCCCAGCAGGCGGCCCAAGCTCTACATTGTAAACTTGCAGGTAACTTGAGCACCCAGAGACACCTCCTTAGACCTGGGCCTTAGAACAGGAGAACCAGAGAGTTCCTGGATGTTCGTGTCCTGGGTCACAGAGATATGGCAAGAAAGGGCCATTGGGAAGAAGTGAGGTATCCTCACGCGCCTTCCCCTGTCCCCAGTGGACCCCGAAGGATGACTGGGCTGCCCTGAAGCTTCATGGGAAGTGTGATGACGTCATGCAGCTCCTCATGGACGAGCTAGGCCTGGAGATCCCCCGCTACAGCAGGTGAGGGGGGCACGGGTGCATCCCCCCCCTTCCCTGCCCTGTGTGGATGGACCGCGTCTGTCTTTTCTCGTGAACTGAGTGTAGAGAATGCTCTGAGTTGTCGCAGATGGTGTCTGAGGCGTGACCCCAGCTTGGTGGCCTCTGCCAGCAAGGGGGAGTGGCAGAGGCATCAGCTGAGGCCCCCTGGCTGGTGTGACTCCCCATGGGGAGAGAGAATGTGCCAGTGTGTGCCTGGAGAGCCCCCCTCCTACCTCCGACAGCCTGGACGCGAAGGTGCCTTGAAGGGACGTGGTCTCGGCATCTCCAGACAGGATCTCGGTGCACTCGGTTCGGGGAGCTGGCGTACTTTGGGGAAGCTTAAACTGTACCTTAATACAGAATTTGTGATAATTTAGATGTGGTGTATGTATTGAGTAAAAAGTTTACACTTTCTTTCTCTGTGAATTTTCAGGGTCTTATAGGGGAAATCAATAACTTCTTTTAATCAAAGGGTTCAAGAATTAAGGATCCCTTCACCTTCTGGGCCTGGCAATTCTTGTATGTTATGTTTGTGCTGTTCTGTAATGTGGGCCTATTGTGTACTGTATTTTTTTTTTTTTT